AAAGAATATGATGGTCGACAGTATCAAAAGCTTTTTTAAGGTCTAGAAATAAAACTCCGCTAAGTAAACCTCTGTCCATATTGAACAACCATTCATTTGTAGAACTAAGCAGTGCAGTTTCAGTAAAATGTTGATGACGGAAGCCAGACTGCTGTTCCACAAGAATGCCATTCAACCTCAAGAATGAACCTAGCTGCAGGTATACCAGTTTTTCGAAAAGTTTAGCTACAGCTGAAATAACAGATATTGGCCTATAATTTTCACAGTCTGCCTTATTTCCTTCTTTAAATATGGGGGTCACCTTTGCTAATTTCCAATCATTAGGGAAAATTGCTCTTTGAAGGGATACATTGAATATGTTCACTAGTGGTCCTGCCACAATGTTAGATGCATCTTTTAGTATCCTTATACTAATACCATCAAGCCCTGGAGATTTCTTAGTTTTAATTTCATTGAGTGCATCTATTGTTTCTTGGAGTGTAATGCTTGTAAAGTTGAATATACTACCATCAAGAGGAGTCACAAAGTTCATTGGATCAGTGCAGTTACCTGTGATCTTGTCAGACAACGTACTGCCAATTGTGGAAAAATATTGATTGAAGGTATCTGCAATTTTATCATCATCAGTAATAAGTTGGCCATTTATATCTAGTTCTTTAACCTCTGAAGTTTTAGGCTTTTTGTTTAATAATTCGTTAATAGTTCGCCAACTTTCTTTGCTATTTTTAGCATTGCTTAGTTTATCTCTAAAGTATTCTTGTTTAGTTTCTTTTATGAGATTATTTAACTTGTTTTACATCTCTTGTAAGCCTTATCATAATACGCAGATCTTAATTTAATCGATTGCTTTTTAAGGTAATCCCTACGATAGCTCATTTGCTTAATTTCATTTGTCAGCCACGGTTTATATTCACTCTTGACACGACGTTGTCTGATTGGTGCATGTTTATCTGCGGCGCTCAAAAACTTATTTTTAAAATCGTTCCATAAGGCATTTGGGTCAGTTAAAATAGCTGAATCCAAGGGCAAACTAAAAACCTCACTTAGATCGTTGTTAAACTGGTTAACATTATAATTTTTATAATGTCTAGTAAAGACAGTTTTTGGTGGCGCCTTAGGAATGCTGAGCTTTCGACACAGATAAACAAGACTATGATCACTGATACCAAGGTGTATTACTCCTGTATCTAATATTTTATCATCACCATAATAAGTGAGGATAACATCCAGTAGTGATGCTTTTAATTTCTACGCAAATCAACTCTAAATTATCAGGGAAGAGGTTTTTGCGAATGGTGTATGGTATGTTGCTTCTAATATACATTGCAACACCTCCTCCGCTTCTGTTTCGATCACGCCTAACAATATCATAACCAGGAATTTCAATTTCACCGTTTAGTACGCTACTATCTAATCTAGTTTCGTTAAGCGTTATAATGTCAAAAAGTTTGTTTTGCATGTATAGCAAAAGCTCATCATAGTGTTTTATCAAACTTGCTATATTTGGATGACATACTTTAAAACCTTTAAGTTTAGGAAAAAGAGAGCCGCTAGCGTGTGATTGTTGTCTATATTTACATCATTACCCAGAGGGCTATTAGCATTATTGGCATTATCGTTTTCAATGGAATTAAACCTCTGTATATTACTATCATCTGAGGGAGTAATATTATTTTGCTTGTTCGTTTGTCAATTTAAGTTTTTGAAATGATCTATAATATTCTTGGCCAACTTGGCTGTTCCTTGCTTATTTAAGTGGAGACCATAAGGATTCAAGTGATCTGCTGTAATATTGGTATGATTTAATACACCCCATTTATTATTATGGCATACCTGTGATAGTTTGCAATTTAGTTCTTTGATTTGGGAATCTAGGCTTGAGTCATCAGATCTGGTTATAACTTTCGATAATACAATCTTAGTATTTGGTGATTCCTTTACGATTTCCTGGCAAAGCGTAGAAATTGACCCAGCTATTTGTTGAGGGGTTTGTCGCTTTAAGTCGTTAGTTCCAACATGTAGGAGCAGATAGTCAGGGGATCTTGATATTGCTGGTTTCACATAATAACGCATATCAGCAACATTGGCTCCACTGAAGGTTTGCACGTTGATATTATGCTTTGTGCCTTTACGCAACTTGGAGGGGTTTAGGTGTTTCACCATGGAATCTCCAATAATGGCCACATTAAGACGATGGCCTGTCTCCGAGCCTGCTCTTTGCTCATATGCTGGCTTGTTTTGTGGCTGTTGTGATCTTTTTTCACCGTTTGGGTAGCAGAATCTCTCTGTTGTCGCTTGTTGTTTTCATTGTCTGCATCGGTTTCGTTGTCGTTGGTATTTGTTTCTTCAACAAGTAGGGGTGAAAAACTGTTTTTTGTTGGAATAGTGACCACATGTTCGCTGTTTGTGTCTTTCGTATCTGAAGAACATTCCAAAACAGCTTGTTGTTGGTCATGAGGAGTTTCAAGGTGATTTACATTTATTGGTTGAGTGGATTCCAAATCCTTAAACAATAGCCGGATACTTGTCATTAGACTGGCTTTCTCTTCGTGCGGCTTTGTCTTGTAAATCAGCTAGCACAAAGCTTAAGTTGTTTACGCGTTCGGTTATCTTTTCATTCTCGTCTTTTAGTCTGGCATTTTCCTTTCTCAGCCATGACAATTCAGTGTCAGAGTCGAGGTTTTTCAGTTCTCTCAATTCTTTGGAGTGAACTAGCAGTATGTCAGTGACGGAAGACATTTTAGAACTGATCCCCTCCTCCAAGGTCTGAAGCTTATTGTTAAGAGTCTCCAATGTAGTTTCGAGCAAGCGTTCTTTCGTTTGTTCTTCAGAATTTTTTACATCGGATAAACTCTTCGCCATAGAAGCTACTGATTTTAATTTGTCTTCGACATTTTCTCGATCATCCCTGCTGACAGAGACAGTTTGGGATTTCGCATACCATTTTATTGCAACGTCTTTTCCTTTGGCTACAAACAGCTTAGCATCGGCGCCAGGAGAAGTCCAATCTCCTTCGTTCAGGTCTAATACTTCTTGAACAAACTGCTGCAGTGCTTCAAAAGAGCCTGTCCAAATTAGTTTATTTCTATTGTTGAATGATAAGTCGTGGATAAGACTCTGCATCTTGCTTGATTATATAAGCTATTTCACTATGTTCACGATTCTATACGGATTATATACACAAACTGCTGTACCGGGACTTGGATTTGGGATGATTGAGTTTGGGATTTCAAAACTTCATCCATCAGGTTAGCTTTTTTCGATTGACTTCTATTTCAGTCTTCCAAGACAAGATTTCGTCGGCAGATAGGTTTGCAGCAGACTGAAGTTGGGCACGAATCGTATTGGGGTGACTGGCGAGACCAAGTCTGTGAAACAAGTCCATGATTTCAGTTTTGCAACACCCTTTGCTAAGAAGCAGGTTAAGTTGATAAACGAAATTAGTTCACCTGAGCCACGTATTCAGTAGGGCTGAGAATGCTAGAATTTTTGTTTTCTAGAAATTTAACTCTTGCATGATTGTTACTAGTTGCTGTGACTATAGCATGTGTAACAGGTAATCTCTCCTTCATTTCAAGTAACATGTCATCGCTCTTAAAATCCTTCAAACTTAACGGATTGCCATTATATTTTGCAACAGAGTTGCCTTTGCTATAGGTGCGCATTTCTCTCTTTACTTCATCAGTTACGGCTTTAACGATTGCTTGACAGAATGGTGGAAATTTCAAGGCAGAATTTGCTGTGGCTTTGTAATCTTCCAGATAAATTTGTTTTATCATTGCCCCTTCAAGTCTATCCTCGCAACTGCGCTCTTTCACTCGACATGAAGATGGATAAGCAACGAAAATCTGAAAATAATTTAATATTTAGGTTAAGAAATAACGAAACGTTTAATAATCGGCGTGGAATCCGGCTAGGAACAGTAGCATATCAAGACTGTAAACAAAATAACAACGCTGTCGATTTCGTTGAAATTGTTACACCCTTAACTTAAATTATGTAAATTATGACTGTAAGTAGAAGTCATTCAACATGTTTTCACTCAAGAAATATTTTTTAAACAGTATGAAAAATATATTTATGCTTTTTAACACTTTATCGTGCAGCAACGTTTTTAGTTTTACTTTGCATGGAAATACAACAGCAAAAATGTCAAATGCAAAGTGTCAGAGTGTCAGAGCGTCAGAGCATCAGTGTCAAAGTGTCAGAGCGTCAAAATTTGTTCAATAACAGGGTTAGCCTGCACGCAGTAATTGCCTTTAATCTGTTTGTATATCTGGAACAAAACTTATAATACAAAACTTATAACAACAGTATATAACAACAGTACAAAAGAAGTGTGCAGAATTATTGTACTTAAACTTAGCATTCAGCACTAAAGTTCCTACCTTTACGACAGGCGGTAAATTATCATCGGGTGCGTCAGTACATATATTCATCAAATTGTATACTTCATCGTTTACAGTTGAATAATTGTCAGGTCCATTATCGAAGAGTGCTTTTCTTGATGTCCTCGCTTGTTTTCCAGCAGTTGTTGTGTTTGCGGACGCAATTTTTTGCCGTTTAGAATCTGGAGTTAGGCCAGTCGAAGATCGTTCAAGCGAACGTGACCGGAGATTCTCTTCAAGCGTTGAATATCCAAACGACTTGTATAGCTCAGAAAATAGTTTATAGCAGTTTACAATTTTCCTAGAACATTTCTTGCAAGCAAAATGATCATCCTGTTGACTAGCAGTATTCAAGACAATTCCCAATTTCGACAACAAGTTCGCAAGTACAACTGATTGGACACCCAGTGCACTACAAAACTCCTTGTTTACTGTTTCTGAAAAAAGTGGAACAGAAGAAATACACGACCCGTCCGCCTTTCGAAGGTTTTCGCCACAATCTTTACAAAATCTCATTTACGTGATTGTTTAATGAATGTATATTACTCAATGCTCTCCCACCAAACCGTTGAAAGACGCGCGTAAATTTAACTGAAAACGGAAGTGATTTTGATTGGATACTTATTCATCAATGACGTGTGCCGCAGAAGGGGGCGGAAGAGTATTTTAATAATAAGTGTGTCAGGCTTTATTTTTCTATAAAGCCTGATAATCAGGTTAGGTTGGCAGCAGCGTCTCATCACGTATGGCGCTCTGGTACGATCTCAGCATTCTCTTCTTTGAGTGAAGTGATAATCTTGACTGTGCGAGGGAAGAGTTTTTCATCCTTCAGTACATCACATTCACGTCACTCATTATGTAACAAAGAACGCATTCTATTGACATTATCAACAGTCATTTGGCAAGTGGTCAAAAACTGTGGTGATAATAATGCAGTATCCTGTAAGACCATGCCCTGTAAGACCATGCTAGCAAGAATGTCGAGTTTAACTGCAATAAAAATCAAGGATGTTGTATTTGCCACACGCTTTATTATTCCTTGGAGAGTTGGAACAAGTTTCTCAATGGTGTCGTTGTGGATTGCTCTTATTTGCTGGTCGCAAAACCCAATAAGGATAGGTAAGTTGTCCAGGTGGGAATCCAATGCAGCGACATGATGCTCCACCCATCTGGTTCCAGTAAGCCTCTTGTACAAAGATGCCATCATAAAGGGGACTTTTTGAAAAAAATAATGGTTGTTTACCATTTACATGGAAATTCCGGTGATTCCATACGGAAACTAAATGGCACAAGCATATTTCAACTGCCCAACTGGAACTTTTCCAGAATAAACGGTTTGTTTGAAAAGGTTGACCTCTCTTACCGATTGGAAAGTTTCAACCGGTAAATGCTGTTCCATTTAGATCTCTTTTATTTTTTTCACCAGTTCCAGGCTCCACTCGATTTAGCAATTGAAATTATTCAATGGAAAGTGCATAATCTCAATGGATTTTCTATCCGAAATTTTGCTTACCATTAGCACAATTTCAAACCGGATGGGTTTTCTATGTAAATGGTAAACAACCAATATACCTCGGTATAATCTTTCTCAGTCACGTTATTTAAGAGAGAGGATCCAAATGCATCATCGATGGCAAGCTCAAACTTGTGGGAAGTACAAAGCATGAGGAGATAATGATCCCCAAATTCATCTACTAAAAGATTGTAGACAGCGCGGTTTACTCTTTCTCGACCAGCCTATTCACGTGATAAATAGGTGCGGTATATTCCGGTGCAATTTTCTCTGCGAGAGTACTTGACCCTTTTAAGCGCATAATGCGTTTCAAAGCTCATGACTTCAGCTATCGATTGATGACGGTTGGTTCATATTTGAAATGTGACACATGACCAAAAAATGCATAAATTTGCATAAATTATGCAAAAATATGGCAATTATATTTGTATTTTGCCTCATTATGATCAAACAATGCAAATTGTGCAATACATTATATTTATGAAAAGTTCGTTTAGGTTATATGGTATATGTGTGCCAAGTTTCAAAATAATTGACTAAACTTTTATTTTTGAAGTTCACTCTTTAGAAATAGCAGAATTGTGCCCTCAATTTCATTGACATGTCTCCAATGTATTAATCATGCCAGAGCCATATATATATATATTTTTATATAGTGGTAGTGGGTAGGCTTTAAGAATTTAACTCCTCCCCCCCCCATATTTCCAGTGAAATCCTTCTAATATTTGTCGAAATAAAGATTCTAAGCAATTCGGCAACCCGAAATGGGAAAGTCCCCTCCCCCCCGGTAAACAGAAAATGTGTGCAACAACATTTTTAAAAGTATCTGACACCATTATGTTCTACCCAGTTCAAGGGAAATTTTCCCGTTTGATTGAGTGAAAAACGAATTTATACAGGCACCCAAAGGTACTATTGTGAGATTGAATGACACCGCTTGAAATCAAATTCATCCACAACATGCTTTTTTCAATTTTTAATAATAAAGCAAATAATTAATAATTATTAAATTGAATATACATGAATATTATACCTCAAATTCAAATTGTCCAATCAGGAAACTTAGTTTGTGCCATGTGAGCATGAAATTAATCGCGATATCACGCCTTACGTCATCAATTAGCGAGCCTGCATTCCTTTTGACAATGTTCCACCCCATGTTCCCCGGGGAACATGGGGTGGAACATTATTCGCGTAGACCACGCGGGACAACACGCATGACAACAAGATGGCCGACAAAACATAAATAGTATTAATGAGTGATGAATAATTCAATTTTAAACCTAAAACCTGGGGCTTTTTCAAACCTAAAACCCGGGGCTTTGTCATTAATATTCCAAACGATATGTGATTCGAAAGAAAAGCGACGACACTTGTGTTAATCCGAAAATAAAACATCGTATTCACGAAGGTATGTGTCAAGTTTTTAATTCTCAACTTGGAGGCTTTTAATTTTCGGTATAATATATCATTTATAGACCCTCCGCTCGGGGGATTCGGCGAAATATTACCCTCAGTGATGATATTTCCCTTGGGGCAAAGCCCCTCGGGAAATATAATCACTTCGGGTAATATTTTGCCAAATCCCCCTCGCTCCAGGTCTATAAATGATAAATGTAACACAAATAGTAAGGAAAATTTTATTAAAAAATGAAATGTATGTCATACAATGAATGACCTGTAATCATAATGGGGAAAATATGATACAAATTTAATTTGATTGACAAATTTGATGTTGGACATGTTTCAGTCCACCAAAATACCAAATGCAGAAATATTCATGACCTCCTACCAGTGTAATCCCTACTAGGCCATACTACAAAACAATCATGTTCACCACCAAAATGCATGTGCCTATTGCACTGAGGAGCACTACAATAAGTAGAAACCTTCCTCTCCCCTCGACCTTCGGCATAACAAACAACACAATTCCTTCTTACACCATTCTGTGCCGTTGTAGCTAAATGCGCAGTACAGAACTGATCATGGGGAGGAACAGCCTGCATTTGCTCATTCACTGGAGGTCCATCATACTCTGCTAACCCACAAATTTGTCTAATTATCTCCTCCCTAAAATCCACTATAGAATATGTGGACTTACGATGCAATGCCGGATTACCCGGGTCACTGTTACGATGGCTTTGAAATAGAAGGAAACTGTTAACAATTGCCATATCTATTAAGTGGTAGAATAATGTCTTCCACCATCGATAACATTTACGATTTACATTATGACGTGCAAGCATTTGATCTGACCTATCTACAACCTCGTACCCAGGGTATTTGCTCTTGGGAAGCGAAATACCCTGGTATGGGCTGGTCACGTGACCGTAATACAATTACTTTACTAAGTGGGGGTGGGTGGTTTTAACAGCCTGTTCGCAGGTGTGATGTATGTTGCTGAAGACATTTGTTCAGGAGTGTAAAATATAAAATCCACAACGAATCGAATATGTTTTTGTCTTGCCTTCATTCCGCTGTAATTAAAAGTGGTTTATACAGCAATATAAATCTGAAACCGAAACAAACAAAGTGTTTGGAGGCCATGTATAATAGGCGAGATACTGTGGCAGGTTTTGCCTACAGGATATGGTAAATCTTTGATTTATCAATTGCTGCCAACATTGCTTAACGAGAGGAACCTCTACGAACAAAGGCGATCTGGGGAAATTGTTTTAAGCTGGTCTACTCCCATTATCCTTGTTGTTTCGCCTTTAAATTCACTGGTCGACGATCAAATAAGAAAGATAAATGATAGTACGTGTTTAAAAGCAACCATTTTGAAAAAGAATTACGGAGAATTTGGTGCTAATTTTAGTGTCGATGAACCTGGCATCAAAGACACGTTATTCGATATCCTGTATCTTCATCCCGAAGCATGTTTGTCGTCTAAGGCAGGATTTAATTTGTTCCAGTCTGTGCCATACCAAAACTCGGTTGAAGCTATTGTCGTCGACGAAGCTCACTGCATTTTGGAATGGTAAGTAGAATGTACCTGTAATAAACTGGTAAAGTTTGTATGTTTTTCATTTGTGGCATACTGGCATGCAAAAAAGGATGAGTGCTTTTGATATTAGAGACCAAAGAAGACAGCAATAAAGGGTACGCTCCTGGGTATTTTTCCCTACCCATTTGTTTAAATGAATTTGTGTATAGCCACTTCTTGTTAATAAAGGCAATAAATGGTAATTTTTTAGGGGTGATGATTTCAGAACAGATTATTCCCACCTTGGTATGCTATGTGCTCTTTTCCCATCAGTTCCTGTTCTGGCCCTTTCAGCAACCGCAAGCAAGAAAGACCGAGAAGCAATCAAGGGCACATTGCATATGAGAAACCCCCTGGAAGTTGTAGGAAGCCTTAACCGACCAAATATTTTCTATGAAAAAGTATTTCGGAATGGTCCAGATATTGAATCATATGAGCAAATATTAACACCAATTGCTAAAAATCTATTAGCACAGAAAATTGAGTATCCACTGACGATTTTTTACCTAAATTTGAGATGGTGTGGGTTTGCATATAGACTGTTTGAGACAATTTTAGGGCATGAACAATATTTCCCTACTGGTGCAGACCCAATCCCTGAGAATAGATTGTTCTCACAGTTCCATTCTCCCCAAACTGCTGCCATGAAAGAGCAAATTCTTAATGAACTTGGACATTCACATTCCAAATTGAGGGTTGTATTTGCCACAGTTGCAATGGGCATGGGAGTGGATATACCTGCTATTACAAACATCATCCACATTGGACCACCCCGAACTGTTCGAGAATACATGCAAGAAACTGGGAGAGCTGGTAGAGATGGATCTTCATCACGGGTGTTGTTATTTTACAATAATCGTGACATTGCCAAAAACAGGAAAGGAATCAGTGAGGATATCAGAGAATATTGCCACTTGGAACATTCATGCATGAGAAAATACCTTTTGGACTGTTTAGATGTAGAACTTACAACTGAAGAACAGGTTGTTGGACACTTATGTTGCAGCAATTGCAGTTTGGTATGCGACTGTGTTGATTGTACTATATGAATTTAGCATAGAATCAGAATACTATATGCCATTTTGGATAAATTCTATAATTCTGCATGTTTGTTTGTAAATATTCTCTATTTTTTTACAGTATGTTTAACTTTCCCACATTTGATATTTACAATGAATATTCACAAAATAAATTAAAAAACATATGCAGAGTTCCAAATGCGGCCCTTTAAGCCTGGAAACCCCACTTTCAGAAAGTTTCCAATGTAGGCAATTACATGTATTTTGTAAACTTTCCAAAATTAGGCAGGAAGCAAAGCACAAACTAGGCTTTGAATAATGACAGTGAAAGGTTGCAGTAAACTGTTAAATGTACATTGAAATCTATCATAATAATTTATATATTTTAAAATTTTAAAATAATTTATAAGCAGCTTACGCATTGCCTTCACAACCGCATTTATATGTCTCATATCAGGTTATATTTATCGGCTGATCCAAAATGCTCAAGATAGTCAGATCATGTTTCATTACAGTAATCTTATTACGATTGTCAACGCATTGGCTTCCAACCGTGACAAGACGTCATTGCCTACTTTTTTATGCGAGGAAACTGGAAACAACCTAGTTTTAATAACTCTAGGTTGTTCTCAGGCTCTTGCGCACAAAAAACTAGGTTGTTTCTAGGCCCTTGTACACTAAAAACTAGGTTGTTCTCAATCTTCTCAAGCAGCGAAACTCCTCAGCCAAGTAAACATCTGCATGCCTAACATACCTATTTGGCATTATAATAATTTGCGTTCAAAGATTTAAGGTATAGATTGACTCTTTAGATTGATTAATAAAAAATAAGCGGTTCACGAACTTTTTTAGTACATGCTAGTTTAGGGCCTTTAGGCCGGTACATGCATTTGATGCAAAATTGCTTTATTGCACAATAAAAAATTGAAAAATTAGGCAACAAAACAAATATTAGGCTAACCCCAGGCACAAGAGAAATGCCATTTGGAGCCCTGCATATAGTGCTCAGTAAAACAATGTAAGTTACTTAACCCATATCAGGAACAACAATGTTTTGATGACTAAAATAATCTGAACATTTACAACAAATTAAACTGACAAATTGAGGAGCAAGATATTAACCTTCACTCTCATCATCACTTTCAACATCAGCTTCCATTGTTGGAACATTGTACAAGAGGTTTTTTGTATGACGTTTCAACCAGTCATTAAATTTCACTTCTTCAAGATCACATAATGGGTCAGATGACACAGGGAAATGCATCATGCTTTCTGTCACTCTCATGTGTGAAAGGCTTCAAGTTTCGCAAGTCTTTCATGATCTTTCGTTCATCTGAAGATGAAGATTTGTGACTATGGGCAGTTGATTTGGTGTGGATAGCTGCTTGAGCATCAAAATTCTGCATCACCTTCCTAACACCACCTACTGCTTTGCTTGCACGCTCGATCGCCTTATCTGTCTTGTTTGCACCCATGCCTTTGATCAATTTTTTCAAGTCCCTGTTCCGATTTTCCTGCATGAGGTCAATCTCTAAGTTCTTTTCTTTGCCCCCAGTCCAGTTTCTCGTTGCTGCCCAAGTACACTGGTAGGCTTCTTCTTCTGAAAGCAGAACCTCGTTTTGGATAATGCTAATGAACATTTCAACCCCATATGCATTGTACCCAGAATCAGTCTTAAAGTGGTGCAGCAGTTGTTTGTGGAGTTGGTTTATTCTCTGTCCGTTCCCTTTCTTAACAGCATCTTTGATGTCCGCAATTAAGAAGTAGTCCTTCAGCAATAGAAGTGAATATTCCCTCGCTAAATCCGGGCTTTCACTGGACAACACAGATGGAGTTTCA